TTATATGTTTAAATTACATCTTGAATTATTGATGGAATATTGACCCACATAATGTATCTCTAAGAACCAATTCCTAGCATCTGAACTTACAAGTTAATACATCCTAAAAATATATTAGCAGAAGAGTAGATGAAACTATAAATTCAATCTTTTTATCACCCTATATTTTATTAAAAACACTTAGATTATTCTGACATGTACAAGGTCAAACTTAAAAGTTATTCAACATTAGTTTAAATAAGTTACAGAACATGGGAGATTTTAGCATACCTTCTACAACTTTAAAAATTTAGTCCTTATATATCTCTCAGAATTAAGAAACACAGTATTCTGTGGTTTTATTTGAATGATTCCATGTAATGCAAAGGTAATAGGATTAATGAATGAACAGAACACTAACCAACTTTGAAGTTTATATTCTTATATTATAAAACCCACTAAAGTGATTAAGAAATCTACTTTAATGATCTTAATTATATATATAAAAAAAGGAGGCTAGCTTTTTATATGGTCTAATGTGATAAGACAAGGGAGAATGGTTTAATACAAACCAAAACAAAAATGAAAGAGGGAAGATTTAGGTTATATGTTAGGAGGAAAATCTTTACTTAGAGGGTGATGAAGCACAGGCACAGGCTGCCTGGAGAGGTAGTGGATGCCCCATCCCTGGAGGCATTCAAGGTCAGATTGGATGGGGGCCCTGGGCAACACCAGTGGGTGGTGTTCCTTCCTATGAGAAGGGGTTTGGGGTTTGGAACTAGATAGTCTTTAGGTCCCTTCCAACTCAGGCCTTTCTCTGATTCTATGATTTTTTTTCTTCTTTTCTTTTGCTATATAAACAAATAATTATTTTTGTTTAATTTTATTGCTCATTTAATGTCATAAAGTCAAAATAACTACTTCATTGCCATCTGATCAGACTTTGATCCAAGGCTGAAGGATTACAAATCAGAAAAAAAAAAGAAAAATCTGCTATTCACTTAGAAACACTAAAAATGCTGCAGCACATCAGTGTGAAAGCCTGCTTTTTGATTTATAAATTGAAAGGTTATTCTGGAGTTAGTAAAAAAAAAAAAAAAAGAAATATAGTCCTAGTATAAAGTACTGTATTAATGTAAAAGTAACTTGTAAACATCAGACAACTTTAATACAATATACTATGAGGTTGTTACTGAAGAATGTGCTTTCATATCTCTGTCTTTGCAAGTATTAATGTTTTTTCATATACACACAAATATATATTTATATAGCTTATTTTATAAGTATACCATATTTAGAATTTTTTTTTTTGTATGACTTATTTATGAATATATCTGACTTCACGTTATTTGCATATGTTAATGCATTTAATATCCTTAACTACCCTGTGTAGTTTCAGATTGTTAATACTCCAGAGAACTTACAGCTCTAAGTTTACGCATTTAAGAAGGTGAAAATCTGATAGGAAAAAGTATCTTATAAAACTTCACACTGCCAATGAATGTGATGGACATAAGTGATACTGCCTGTGCCTTATCAAGGTAAGCAAGTTCCCAAACCCCTGGTCCTTTTTTTTTTTCATATCAAGACATTCCTCAGGCAATGACTGAGAAAATGACTGGAAAAAATCTGACAAGAT